GACCCGAAACGTTAACTCTGATTTCTCTTCACAGATGCTGCCAGACCTGCTGAGCTTTTCCAGGAATTTTGATTTCTGTTTGCGACAGTAAAATTAAAACCTTCAAAGGTCCTTAAAATTGATTAGGAACCATTGGGTTTTAAATAACCAAACTCAGACTTTGCAAATAATCAATTCTCAACATTGTTTTGTATCTTAAACAACAGATTTAGCAACTTATTAACAATATAGTGACTTCAGCAAAGCAAAAATTAAACAACAAAGTAAACCAATTGGTCTGTGCATTAAACCCAAAAAACCTCTGTTTTCACATCCTGCGAATTTTTTTTTAAAAATGGGGAGAGTGAGAAAAATAACACAGAAACAGAGAAAATAGGAGCGGGAGTAGGCCATTAACTGTGATCCTGGCTGAGCTTCCAACTCAGTACCTTGTTCCCTCTTTCTCCCTATTCCCTTTGATCCCTTTAGCCTTAAGAACTATATCTAACTCTTTCTTGAAAACATTCAATGTTTTGGCCTCAACTGCTTTCTGCGGAAGAGAATTCCGCAGGTTTTCCACAAGCTGGAAGGTCTGTGATGAGGTAGTAGGTAGGAGAGACGAAATGGCAAAAAGGATCAGAAGTGTGGAGCTATAGCACGTGGTAATGGAACTACACCAATGTTCAAACATACAGTCTGCATCTAGGAGTAGGCCGTTTGGTCCCTATACCTGTGCTGTTATTTAAGAAGAACATGGCTGATCTAATTGTGCCCTTAACTCCACCTTTCTGCCCACTGCCAATAACATTGACTCCTTTTGGTGGTCAGGAGTGTACCTACCACCACCTTAAATATATTCAACGAACTGCCTTGTATCACTTTTCTACAGAAATGAATACCAAAGTCTCTCAATCCACTGAGGAGGGAAAAATTTCCTCATCCCTGACTTAAAGGGGAGATTTTTTTATTTTTTTATTTTTAAACTATATAGTTTATTAAAAAAAAACCAAAAACTGAAAGCAAAATACAGGATGCTGGCAATTTGAAATAAGGTAGACAAAGTTCTGGAGAAACTCAGCTGGTCTGGCAGCACCTGTGGCCAGAGGGTTACCGTTTTGAGTCAGATGTGACTCTTAATCAGAACTAGAAGGAAACACAAGATGTGTCCAGAGGAGGTGTGAATGGCAGAATCATGAACAGTAACCACTTGAAAGCAAAAAATAGATAGAAAGAGAGAAAAGAAGCAAAAATAACAAAAAAAAATTAAAATGAGAGCAAAGCTACAATGTAAAATTGTTTAACTCGATGTTGAGCCTAGACTGTTATAAAGTGCAAACAAAAAAAAGAGGTGCTGATCCTCCTGTTGGTTCAGTATGTGTTATCATTTGTGGTCATGGAGGGTGGGGGGGAGTCAGGCTCCAAACAGAACAGCTTTCCCCATTAGGCAAAGGGCCAACTGGAGAGAGTGAATGGCGGCTTAGAACGTTTTTTTTCTTGAACGGAGCCCTTTCCGAGTCCGTTGGTGTGACCTGTGGTTTCTTATTGTCGTTGCAGACGATTGTGAGCACCAGGATGACTGCGCCCCCCTCGAGGCTGAAATCAGGCAGAAGGAGCTGCAGAACGTGGCACTGAGGAAAGAACTGCGCCACAAGGAGGCCCTGATAGCAGCGCTGGAGGACAGCCTGTGGAGGAGGGAGCGGCTGTTCCTAGAGGAGCTCAAGAGACGGAGCCACAGGATGACCGTCCTGAACGTTGAACTGCAGAAGCAGTCTGAGACTGCGGCCCAACTCGCATTCAAGTTGCACAGCGTCAAACAGAAGCTAAGTAACTCCAGGCAAGGTGGTCGTCTTTTGGATAAGCCTGCTGATAAAGCCATCCCTACATCTCCGGTGTACACGTCAGTCTCGCTGAAGAGGCACCATAAAGTCCATTCGAAAATGACTGATAAAATCTGCACCGAGAGGGCAGTGGGGTCAGACTCGACTCAGCAAAGACGCCGGGCAGAACTGGATGAGCTTGACCCCATGCCCGACCCTGCACTTTTCCTACGGGCGAGGTGGCATCATGGCCAGAGGCACAACCAGGCAGGCTGCTTGGCGGCGCCCGTTAGTCAGGAGTGCAGGCCCGAGAGCGGCGGCCTCGCAACGATGCAATCGGTCAAGCCCAGAACTGTGCCAGAGGGGAACTCAAAGTGCTCGAACTTTCTGGGACCTCCTGCTGAGACAGAGATCCCCCTCACAGATGAGGAGAGCGCCGGCGAGGATTTGCAAAAGGCGCGAGAGAGTGTGCGAAAATAGGGCAGCTTTATCACGGGTTGTCAAGGTCAAGAAAGAACTTGCTTTGATACAGCATCCTTTCACATCCCGAGATGCATCGCATGCAACAAATTATCATATTGGTCACTGTGCAGGCAAATGTAGCAGCGTCCTTGCACAAAGCAAGGCCCCACATGCAACAATGGAGTGTACAATCAAATGTTCCTTCATCTGAAGCCCCTGTCCTGCAGTTTACTGAGGCTGCAGCCCATTGATCCAAAACCCCAAGCTGAGCTTGAATCCTCTCAAATAACATCTTGGAAAAACATTCTATTTAAGGTGAAGAATAGGCAAATAACACAAAGCTTTCTTATTAACCTCAGGAGTCTGAGCCTCAGAAATATTTTATTCAAACAAACCAATGGGTGATTCAACTGCATAATAGGTTTTTGAAACCATTGCATTTATCCAAACATTTTATTGAAAATCTCTCCCTCGTACAAAAATTCGAGACACGGACACAGACCCTGTATAATCACGCTGCAGGAACTCTATTGCAAACATTTGGCATACTTTTTAAAATATAAATACAAGGCAATAAAGCAATCGTGTGGAACTTGCAGATAGAATCGAGCAACACAAAATAGCACACACACAATATCTTCATATCCTAACTGACTTCTGTATGAACTCACTTAGAGTTTATTGACTATCAATAAAATCTTAAAGAGGTAAGGGGCCTACACGTTACCAGCAGAGAGTGAATGTAACTATCTCCCCTTGACATGCAATAGTATTACCATAGCTGAATCCATCACTAACAACATCTAAAAACTCAAATCAAAGCAAAATGCTGCAGATGCAAATCTGAAGGTTCTGAAGAAGAGTCACATCAGACTCAAAACACTAATTCTGTTTCTCTCTCCACAGATGCTGTCAGACCTGCTGTGTTTCTCCAACCTTTTCTGTCATTTATTTATCCCAGGGGCTACCCTGGACTAGAAACTGAACTAGACTAGCCATGATAAATATTACAGTTACAAGAGAATGTAACAGACTGGAAGTTCTTCAGCAAGTAACCCATCTCCTGACTTCCCAGAATCTTTCCACTATCTTCAAGGCACAAGTCAGGAGTATAATGGAATACTCTTGGCTTGCCTGGATGAGTATAGTTCCATTAACATTCAGGAGGATCAATACTATCCAGGACAAATAGCTCAGTTGCTTGGCATCCCATCAGCCATTCACTTCCTCTGCCTTTGATGCACAATGGCAGCAATGTGTACCATCTACAAGATGCACTGCTGCAATTGGCCAAGGCTCCTTGAACAATGCCCTCTACCATCTCAAGGGCAATAGACACACGAGAACACCACCACCTGCAAGTTCCTTTGCAAGGGGAGATAATGGTAATATCACTGGACTGGCAATCCAGGACCCCATGGTAATGTTCTAGGGGCATGGGTTCAAATCCTGTGGCAGATGGTGACATTTGAATTTCATAAACGTCTGGAATAGCCAGCTATAACCACTGGCAATTGTTATAAAAACCTATCCGGTTCAGTAATTTTCTGAGAGAAGGAAATCTGCTGCTTTCACTTGGTCTGGCCTACATGTGACTCCAAACCCACAGCAATCTTTACTGCACTCTGGGCAGCATATGCTGGCCCAGCAAGTTGTGCACACGACCTGTGAATGTACAAAATACTGTCACGTTCCATCTTGGCTTGGAGTTACATTGCTGTCCTTTCACTGTGACTGAGACAAAATCCTGGAAGCCCCTTCCTAACAGTTTTGCAAGTGTATCAGCATCACATACTTGGGTTTCAGCAATTCACTATTACTGTCACCAGCTAGGGATGGGTAATAAATGCTAGCTTAATCAGCAATTCTTTCATACTGTGAATGAAAAACAAACACAATGTTCCTGACCTTTCAAGGCAGTACAGCTTCTAATTAATCATGAGAGATTCACAACTCTGGATATGAAACACTTGCATTCAGCACATGCTTTGTTTGTAACCATCTCATATCATGGCAGATACAATGCAACATTTAACAATCATTGACTGCTTTTGGCCTGGACAACATGATTTACAAAGATTTCTAATCCTTCACAAGTAACGATTAGGTGCTAGTTACTGACCAATAGCTAGATGGTATGAGCTTGAAGGAACACACGTGCCCTTTAGCAGCAAACTGAAACATCGAAATCAGCCCTGCTGTTAGAACAAATCCAACTCATTGGAGTCAATGACTCAAAAAATTTGTAAATAATAAAACAAACTCAAATTTTCTTATAACCTAACAAAACATTATTTCACATTTACTTCGAGAAATACTTGCCATCTATATAACACCAGTCGTAACTCCAGGAAACCCCATTGTCGTGTTGGAAATGTGTCAGCCATTTTGTGCACAGCATGCTCCTACACTAAAGTGACAATTATCAAATTGTCTGTTTTTGCAGTGTGGAGTATGGAACAAATATTGGCCTGGATGTCAGAGATACTTCCCCTACAGATCTTTTTCATTCACTTCAGGGCAGATAGGATCTTGGTTTGTCAGCTGTCTGCAGTGCTGTGCTGGAGTACCAGGCTTTTTGGCCTAGACTCCTGGGATGGGACCTGAACTCTCAACCTTCTGAATAAGGGCTGAGAGCACTGTTCACAGAGCTATAGTGATTTAAAGGGCTAAGCATGTCAGAAAACACTATAAACACTAATCCTGTATTATTTTCAAACATATACTTTATTCGTAAATGTCATAAAGCAAAATCATTGCAAAAACATTTCACCTGGAATATTACATAATTTGCAAGAAAATTCAACACACCCCAAGGCAACATGTTCCACTCAATTCAATTGTAACATTCTTAATATTTACGAAATGCATTCTATGTCATGTATACAGCTTGAGGGCAAAACATTTCAAGTTGAAATGAACAGAAAGTGCAATAAATATAATGTTCCCTGTACAACATGTTTCACTGTGAGGTGCCCCAGCACATTTTCAATGCTCACAATTTAGAAAATGCTTTCTTTGTGAGGTGCATCGCTCATGGGGTATCACAGTTTCCAGACCCTTGCTAAACTATGATTGAAAGATCTAAGCAGTGACCTGTCCCTGCACTGCCTCTGCTCCAAGCATTACTGCATCCCTCAACATGTAGTGCAGTACCTCTTACTAATACCAAGGGATGTTTGTCAGTTTTTAATGTAAATTTGCTATTGAGCAGCGTAGATATATCCAGGATTGAGCTGTGTAGATATTTTATTATAAACCTGTTTGGAGATTTTATTTCCCACACCTCTGGAGAGGGAGGTACTTAAACTCAGGCCTCCTGGATAAGAGGTTGAGACACTACCACTACACCACAAGCCACCCTTGGTTGAGCTCTCTACTAAATTATGCCTAACCAGATCTGGATAGTTGCTCCAGTTAACACTTTCTAATTGATGCTTCACTAATCTTGAAAACCCTACCACAAATAAGAATACTTTAAAATTTTATCCTCACTAGAAACCTCTGTAATTTTTGGGAGGGTGTTGGGGGAGATGGTGGTAGGAAGATAAAGGCTTGATTAATCTCTGAGTGAAAGCAAAGGGTTATCACATTTAATAAATCATCTGCCTAATACTGCTCGGTAGGATTATACAGCCCCACAATTCAATTATGAATAAGGGTCCAATAATATTTTCTTTTCCATGATTAGCAAAACATACATAAACAGTAGTTATAGAATTCTTATCTGTAAAAGCTGGCTTTGATACTGTGATAATCACATGCAGTTCTACAGTTTCTCAACAAGAATTTTTATCTGTTGGGATTGATAGTTAATCATTTTATCTGTACAGCAGGTTTAAAAAAAACAAATCAATGCAATATGGCAATGTTTGAGTTGTGTGTACAGTTGTAATTGAAACTAAAGCCTAAACAATATCCCATGTGATCTTGAAGACTTCATTTCTGTGTAGCCAAGTTAAAGGGATACCGCCTTTTACCTTTAACATAAATGTATTTTTATTTGGCAAGGGAAAATTCTCAGCAGAACAAGTAGAGGCAAGTAGTATGAAGAGACTCCTGGGGTTTGCGAAAAGCGTCGTGTCACTTCTGCAAACGTTCTCTGCTGCTGTTAGTTTCTTTTCTCTTCCTCTCTAGAAAATGCTGACTGTCACTACACCACAGTTATCTGGGCACGAGCCCAGATCTGGTCCCTTCTCCAAGCAGCTATTTTTGATGTGTGTGCCTACAGTGAATTTTGACTAGCTACGGGGTTCATCGTGTCTGAACTCAAAGGGGGTTTCCCATTGCTGACAATCCTTCAATATACTGTTGTTGCTATGTGTATAGATCCCTGGTGAACCTAAGAGACTGGCTTCAGGCCATCTAGTTCTGCCTGGCTCAGGACCATATTGGGTAGTGCAGTTGGCACCCATTGTAACAGCTTCACTGTACAGCAGAGGGGTTCCCCCGAGCCAGCAATCACATTTGCAGTCCCTGCTCTTAATCAAATAGATTGCAAGCCTTCCCTCTCACTAGTGAAACTGAGCAGGAACACATTTTGACATCTCCCTTTTGTCTTCGATTTGCTCTGAAATGTTAGTAAGCTTTGCCCATGGAGACAGCAGGAGACATAAGAACATCATGTAAGACATGGGAAATAGAGTAGGTCATACATGTCAGTGCATGGAGGGTGGCCCCTTGCATCTCCAATGCGTGATGCAATGTCACCCCCTCGATCACTTGTCATTCTCTTGAATGCTTGCTATGGGCTGAAGCTAATTATGTTCCGTTGTTTAAAAGAACTACAGCAAGCTAAAGATATTTTTTACAATATCAATCAAAGGCAGTAGATAAAAGTATTGAGTTTTAATGGATTTATTCCCTTGTTACATTCTTCCCCAAGAGTGGTGCTGTTAGGGATACCATTCTTCCTGTTTCTCGGTCTCCAATATTTTCCCAGTCTCTTTATCTGTGTTGCAGCAGTTCCAATGATCCCGTCTTTCAAACCATCACTTCTAACATTTTTCCCTTGTTCCTCAACCGAGGATTCCCACTGAGCATGTTTGACAAGAGTCCTCCAATGTGTCCAATCCATTCCATAGATCCCTGCTCTCGCCCCTTTGGCCTCCTTCCCAAAACCACAACAGGGATACCTTTGTCATTTTAATTCTTCACCTTACTCCCACATTGACCTTTCTGTTATGGCCTGCTACATTGCTCCAATGAAGTTCCAACACGAGCTGGAGTTACAGCAACATATCTTTCAATATGACACTCTCCTGCTTTGAACTCAATATTGAGTTCACCAACTTTAAACCACAAAATTCTGCCTTTGTCCTGATCTATGTATTTTATCTTTGATTTTTGTTGCTGGATTGATC